CAAATCAAAACATGTACAATCAGTGATGTGATGTATGGTAAATCAAAACATGTACTATCAGTGATGTGATGTATGGTAAATCAAAACACATACATAAGCTCACCTTTCTAAATCGTAGTCTTAAATGGTTATCCAAAGAAGACTGGTCATGTGTGAATGCCTCATATATGTATAGATCTTCATCAACACGAGCCTGAAATGAAACATAGTTAGATAATACACACCTGTTCACCACCGATTCCCTGTTTTCATCACAAATTCACAAATAGTCCTGTTTATAGTCTGCACTTTCTTTCAGAAGATTTGGTCAAAAATAGACAAATTTTTTTGAGTAAAAACTGCAAATTGACTACAATTTTGTCAGTTGGCTTCAAAATTAGAGTTCATTTCCAGAAATAATGAAGAACGTAAGAAAAAAGTGCAGAATAATTTGGGTGAGAAAATGTGGTGGTGAAAAGGCCAAGTTTTCTGGTTGTTAGTTGACCAAACATAATGTATGATATTGAATGTTCTTGATTTTGTAACCAGTTGCAGCACATTTTATAAAAAAAACAATATACACACTGATTGAATAACAACAAAACATGTATACAGAATAAAATATTAGTTTCCAATCATACCAAGAGGTGTGTTTTTTTGTTTTTATGTCCTAAGCCAATTAATAGGAGTTCTTTGACAATAGGCATCATATCGTGCTGCTGATCAGATTTACTGGATCTATAAGACAATAAAACATGAATATTAACAATGTATAAAAATACCAATGCACAATAAATATTTTGTTAATGCATATTTTGCCTGAATTCAAAAACAGTTCCATATTACATGTGAAGCCTTATAAACACATACAATGTAGCAAATATTACTGGGCTACTACTGACTTAATATTCAATATAGCAATATCTGTATAGGTAATATTTGTAAACCCAATACATGTCATCTCCTCAAATGAACCTCTGTAATTCTTGGCAGCAATGGTCAATGCAATTTTGATGTAATAATATTGATTGAGAATAAACAATTTCAAAGCTAAGAATAAATCTCCCCTCTCTAATTACATTCAAATTTAGAAGTGATAAAGTCATAATTGAGTGATGTACTCACCCTCCTGGTGCTGATGCAGTCATTTGATAACTATCAACCATTACCTTAAACCCCATAGGGAAATTCTTTACCAAAAACGCCAGCTTGAAATCAGGCAAGCTATAGATCTGTGAAATGATATATACAAGTTTTAATATTTAAAAACTATATTCCTATTATCACTCTTTATGTTTGCATTTTAATTAATGAATTTTCACTATATTTTATCAAATTCTTGTTTGCTAATCTATATTAAGCTGCTTTATGCTAATCAGTTACTAACTGCCATGCACTAACCAATCAACTACATATTTGGCTACTTACATTGTACCACCAAATTATTAACTATTATGTGCTAACCATTAGATACTCTGTACTGACTAACTATTGGCTATGTGCCAATTATTTGCTATTGTCACCAACTAATAATTAGCAACAGTGTGCCAACTAATCAGCTATTTTGTACCACTCATCAGTCAGTTATCTAACCAATTAGTCAGTGCTAACCAATTATTAGCTACTGCATACTAACAAATTATTAACTCCATGCTAACAATTATTAGCTGTTTGCAAACTAATTATAAGCCATTATGTGGTAACCAATTATTAGTAAGTCTGTGATAACCAATTATTAGTCAGTCTGTGCTAACCATTTTTAGCTACTTTATATCAATCAATTTAGCCATTGCATCAACCATTTGTTAGCTATTGCATGCTAAACACTTAATAACTAAAGAGCTCACCAGTCATTACCCAATTTGTGCTAAAACATTATTATCTACTTAGTGGTGATTAATTATTAGCCATACATTCAAACATAGCATGTGCTATTGACTATTAGTACATGAACATTACTTCCTGGCGAACCAGTGATTGCATACTTCTGTGACCAATAACACAAGGTAAAAGTAAGCAAATGTCTCATACCTCAAGAACTCCATTTTCTCTAGACATTGCACACCAATAAGTAGGCTTTGTCTCACTTAATACTTCTCTTGTTTGGAGGAAGCTAGAAATAAATCCATTACTAAATTATTGTCATTGACACGATAATCCCACAATGCCCACTTATTCACTGATCGAAAAATTCATTGACTGAAAAATTCCCCTCAATAC